CCACTCCCTCAGTCTGTTGAGTTCTCTACTAAGCAAACAGAGAGGCAATGGAAGGGGTAAGAACAAGAGCTCGCGAGCCGCCAGTCAGCGAACTCTGGCTTATAATTAGGCGATTGTCTAACAGCAAGCACATCCGTCCGCAAGGTATTAAAAAAAATTTTTTTGCCATCGGTTACTTGGAAAAGTTTTATGTTCGCAATGAATAGAATACACGAAAAGGAATTTTGACCTTGAAATTCGAGGCAGGTTTCTCACATGCTATTCCATCAAATCGAAAGTATAGAATTCACCAAACATTTCTTTCCACCCTGTACAAAAGTCGCGAAACTTTTGACACCGACGATTTACTCTTTAAATGACAAATACGACGTAAGTAAAGATATAAAATCATACACTTTCTCATCTTCTCGATCACAAATATTGGCTTAAAACTCACTCTCTAGCCGTGAATAATCGAACGTGAGCCCATTGTCTTCGTTAACGGGATCAGTCGTCCGTTTTGTCAGTCTCAATCGAAACATTATAAATTTTCCAGAAAGTTCGATGGCCCGCTCCATAGAGAGCTCTCTGCTTCACTTGGCTCGGGGCAAAACAATTTGAATTTCGTGCACACGTCGACGACGGGAGGTAAAACCTCCATTATCCGAATGCCGCGCAGTTCAAACACCCTGTTATCCGAACATTCTATTATTCGAACGACCGGCGTTCCCCGACGTTGTATCCCATTTCCTTTGAAATGTGAACAGTGCGCACGGATTTCACTGTAACACGCGTTACGCGTGCATTCGTATTAAATTGACAGTGTAATCGTTCTGGTGGTGTAGTAAAGCGGATCCGATTCGGGCGCTCGCGATTTCCAAGAAATTGTATATACGCCGATCGAGCATAATTGACGATTTCGAAACGCGCGAATGGATATTAAGAAGATCAATAAACTGACAGAATCGGATATCTACGTGTATCGGTGATATATTTTAACCTTTTACGCTCTAAGTATTTGCCTCCCAGGCACAGACAATATTTAGTAGGAGGCGAGATAAAAATATTGTCAATAAATTCTACTGCATAATCAGTCGGTATTCTGATCGAGTAAATCAGAAAAATATTCCGTTGGTCATCGTGGTCGGAAAATAGAATAGGAAACGAGTTATTTGAAGATGAATTTGTTTTTGATCGATATAAAAATAGTGATTGTTTTGAGACATGGAGCATTTATCTTGATGGCGTTATTCTACATAAAAAAAAAAGCAAAGAGATTTTAATTTAGTGATTCCAGTGATTCTGAGGAAGATAAAAATAATGTTATACGTAGTGAGAATTCCTCGAAGGATTGCAACGGATTCCTGCAACGGTTCCAAAGGCCCACAGACAAATAGTTTAAGCGAACCCGTTGAATACTTTCGTTTATTTTATACAAATGATTCGACAGAGAACATCACACGGCAAGCAAATTTATTTGCAAAAGAATGTACTTGATCGTTCTACTTGGACAAATTGGAACGACATTACAGTTGCGGAAATGAAGGCTTTTATCGAATTATTATACTGAATATGGGAACTACGTTAAAGAAAAGCAAAGTCAGCGTTGTTGTAAGATGACACTCGGGAGAAAGTTAAAGTTGCAAATGAAAGCGTATTTTAAAAAGTCGAGAACTTGGAGGAACGGAGACAAAATAAGCTGGCTGAAGCTTACCGACAGTGATGGTTTTCGCCGAAATCGATTCGTACCTTCATTTTTCGTTTTTACATTCTCGCTTTTACTGGTCCGACAAAGGAGCCTTTGATTTCTTACATTGGAGTTGGTTCAAATGCACGGCCCTCGTGTTCGCCCGATCTCCGCCGGATAATCCGGCAGTGTTCCTCTCGCATTTGCCGCGTTTATCCTTTAATTCCTCGTGTCAACATCAAGCTCGTAGCGCCGAGCGTTTTCACACTCGAGGTAATTTTCATGTTCGTCGACCACAATCTCGTCTGTGCTCGCTTTACACGGCTCTCTCTCTCTCTCTCTCTCTCTCTCTCTCGCGTACGAGCTATAATACTTTCCCAGATCCCGACTTTCTCCCCCTGGTCTGACTTTAATAAACTCGTCACGGGAGCGACACGGAGGGATTCGCATCGTCAGAGTGGCTGGAAAGCCCCGTTTCTTTCAAGCACTCCGTTTAATCAGGTTTTAATTAAACGCATCGCGCACATCCTGGTTCACTTACAATTAGTTCCTCTTAGTTGCCTTTCCCTTTGTTCTTTCGCCTCGCATCGAGAAGGAATGCCGTGCGCGCAGCGTGCGTTTCCTTTCCACGAGGGAATTTCGGCTCGACGAGGGAATAACTGAATTTGAGAGAGAGATTTAAAAGCTAGGGAAAGGGATATAAATTCGGCTAGATGTATTTTACGATCGTGATTGAAAATGAAACTTGACCGAGGTTCATTTCGAGGTGAAACTCGAACGAAAGGAAAACACCGCTGGCTGAGATACACTGAAATGGAAATTGATATTAAATGCAAATTGATGTCAAAAGTCTGGCCAAAAGCTGAAGCGAAGCTTCTGGCGTTCGTTAATTAAATAATTTCAGCGACTGCAACTGCACGGTTCTTTGAACGTGAAATTAGAAAGGGACGGAGTTTGAAAGCAATAACAGGCAGAGACAGCTTTTGACAGAAGAAACAAATTCGGCTAAAATTAGAATGGGATTACGATGTTTAATAAATTTTATAGAAAACGTGACTAACTACTGACAAAGGGTTGAACGAGGTTGTCCCGAGGTAAATAAATATCTGTTTCATTATGTGACCGACACCGATACAAACTGTTCACTCGACTATGAACAAGAATTTCTGTTTAATCCTTTGCAGTCCGCGTAATTTTCATCATTTTATTCCAACTAGTCCCTGTTGATTTCGCCAACCGTTGTTCTGCTTTGCGTATCGATTACTTTACAAAACACTTATAGATTTACGAACAAAACGACACACTACCAAATAGACAATTATATTAAATAATTAATACAATTATTTAATTGAATTTCTTTGAAATTCACGCTCAATATCAGCCGTATAATCGTCGTCACCTTTTACGCTTTTAAATTTGTCATCATTGCCACTGTACGTTGCCTCGTCTGGATCATTGTTAAATTAATGAATTAAAATTTTCAAGTTGAATTTTGGATTTTTGTAAAAAACAAGACTCGCTACGCTAAGAATTTCACTCTATTATTATTTTATCTCTGTCACAACAGCGTCTACTGAAAAAAAAAATCGAAACTGAAAAATGTATTGTCAAGCGATACATAGCATAGGACTGCAAAGGACTAAAAACAGAAAGGACTGCCCCGAAAAAAGAAAGAAAGAAAAGCAAGCTCTTTTAGTTTCTGAATTTTTCATTACCCATCTACCAACACGGAATCACATTACGTGCTGGGAGAACAGCAAGTAATTGAATAGGCCGGGTCCGAGAAAGTGGAAAGAATCGGGAGTCGACGTTATCGAGCCAATTTTGTGTTACTCAAATCGGATCATCCATCCGCTGGAGGGCGAGCAGGCCGCCTTATTTACGGATTTGATAAAACTTGTGCCACGCAGTGGAAATAGATGACAGAGGCTGGCAGGTAGGCAAC